ATATTTTTGTTACCTTGATCTTTTGGATTGAAGGATTTATTTCTGCTTTGTTAATTTCAATTCTTTTTTTAAAACATTATTATTTCCGTCATTCTCCCTTTTTTTTCTTTGTGAACTTAGCTGGAGGCTTTGTCTTTTTTTTTTTTTTCCAAAAAAAAAACAAACAAACATATTTTTGTTACCTTGATCTTTTGGATTGAAGGATTTATTTCTGCTTTGTTAATTTCAATTCTTTTTTTAAAACATTATTATTTCCGTCATTCTACTGATTTTGGTTTTGTATGTTCTTCCTTTCATCGTTCCATAAGATGGAAGGCTAGATTTATTGAGCTCTTTATTGATTTGAATAACTTGGGCCTGTGTTGATATAAACTTCCCTGCTTTTGCTATTTCCCATAGGTTCTTCCAGCTAATGTCTGCATTTTTGTGTGCCTTCAGTTATTTAAAATTTTTAAATTTGTTTTCCTCATTAGTTCTGATAGTCATATATCTTTTGTTTAATGAAGCTTGAGTATCCTTGGTATCCCTTCTTATGTAGTCTGTGAAGATTGCAAATGCCCAAGAGGTCTTCTAATTTTTCTCCAAGTTCAGGAAGTTAGTCTTATTAACATTTAGATTGCCCTCCTGGAAAGAAGCTAGGGCTTCATGCCAGCTTGACTTGATCTTGAACATAATACATTGAAGTGCTCTGGAAAATCAGCTAGGAAGAAAAAAAATACTGATTTTCTTGTTTACATAAAAGAAAGGCAGACATATAGCTGTCCTTTCCAATCCTCAGCTTAGGGCACTGCATCATTCTTTCAATTATACAGATCCATCACATTTTTTTAAAAAAGATTTATATGTGGTAGATGGGCCAATGAGAGAAGAAGTAGTGGAGAAATGGCTGTATGGACTTTGGGTGGGTCCTGCCAGGGTCCTGAGCCTCTTTTTTTTTGTCTTCACAGCCACTGGAAGAACAGACCAAGATGAATACAGAGGTGAGTTTTTTTTTTTAAAGGATCAGTTAAAGGAATGTTTTTCTTACACAGTCTCTCACTGTTAGCAGTATGATATCTTCCTCTTTAATTTTTTTTTTTTACTGTTTCTCTTTCCTACAATGTTTTCTTTATCTATAGAGCTTTGAGAACCACTTATATAAGCTGAAAACATTTCCTTCCCAACCAGCTGATATTCTTATGGCCCTTAATAGCCTTTATGAATTCTTATCTGCATCTGTCCCTCTTTAGTTAGAATTTATCTACTATAGCTAACCCTGAAACATCATTCCCAGACTAGGGATGGAATGAGCAGTATGCATGAGAAATGGTGGGCCTACTTTGTGTGGTTGTGTGGTTAACTCTGCTTACTGTGACTTTTCTTTCATTCTCTTCTTGGTGCTCTTGCTTCTATATTGCCTATTCTTTGACCGAAAATTCACTGATCTCTTTGTTCTTTTGTTTTTTCCTACCTGATCAATAATTTCCATGTCCAGCCTTGATCTAGGGCCCAGTTTTTCAGCTACTGTTGTACTCTTACCCCCAACTCCTTTCTCTTTTGTGCTGTTGAACCATCACAGCAAATTTACATGTCCACCTCAAGATGATGTTCTTTGTTGAGTGGCACATGCTGTTTGCAGCTGACAAATGTCTCAAAACTCTGATTTGAGCACTCAGCACTGCCTGCTAGTCACAGTAATATAAGCTCAGGCAGCTTTCCTTCTCATTGCTTGAACAAGGCCAAATCTTCATCATTACCTTCTCACTCTTAACATTTGGACCATATTTAACTTTACAGAGAAAAATTGGAACCATCAAACACCATCTGTCTCATGCCTACTTCCCCATTTGTCTTGCTTATCAGTGAGTTCACTCTTGTATTTCTGTGTTATCAATTATCTAATCTCTTTCAGTTCTTTATCAAATTTAATGTATTTGAATTTGCCTTTTTTCCTTGTGAGTCAGTGAAGGTTTGTGATTTTTGTTTATCTTTTCAAAAAATAGTCCTTAGTTTTACTACCTTTCCTATTATTATTTTAGTGTGTGTTTCATTTCTTTCCACTCTGATCTTTGCTATTTCCCTCCTTCTGATGCCCTGGACTTCATTTGTTCTTTTTAGTTATATTACTATTTTTTTCTTTTTTAGATTCTTGAGCTGTAATGTTATGTTGTTTATTTGAGATTTGTTTCCTTGTTTCTTGATGTAGGCATTGCTATTAACTTTTACAGTTGTTTTTGCTGTATCCCATAAGTTTTGGTATGTTCTATTTCCCTATTCATTTGTCACAAGTTTTCTTTTTTTTTTTTTTAAAGATTTATTTATTTGTGCATACATAACTGGGGGGGTACAGGTCAGAGACTCAGGGGCGGCGAGAGGCTTCACCAGAGACAGAGTGGGGAACAGAACAGGCAGATCGACAAAGTACACTGCTGAGGGGAGCAGCGGGAGGGTCAGGAGAGGTCTGCCACTCCATGTGGTCACCTCCGGGGCAGGCGGGAATCGAACTCATGGGGAAGCGGCTTTAGATTCTCAGTGTTGCGCCACCAGGGAGGTCCACAAGTTTTCTTTTTATCTCTCTCTCTTTTAATATTTTCTTTGATTCATTGGTTATTCAGTAGCATATTCTTTGATCTCTACATATTTATGAAATTTTCAGTTTTGCTTTATAATTTTATTTATATAAATCATGAGATTGGAAAAGATAATGAGTGTTCTAAACTTTTTAAATAATTATTTTGTGGCTTAACATGATTTATACTGAACAGTGTTTTCTGTGAGCTGGAGAAGAATTGTATTTTTTTATCTTTGTATGGAATGTTTTCTGTATATCGATTAAGTTTTATTAAGTGGTCTAACATTATTAAAGTCAGTATTTCCATACTGATTTTTTGTCTGGATATTATATTCACTGTTGAATGTGGGTATTAAGGTCCTGTACTATTATTGTGTTACTCTCTTTGTGGTGCATGAGTATTTACATATATTTAATCTTCTTATTGTATTTAATCCCTTTGTCATTATGTAATAACTGTCTTTATCTCTTTTGATAGTCCTTATATTAAACTCTGTTTTGTTTGATGTCATTATATCTATCTTGCATTTCATTTGTTTTCCATTTGCATATGGGATATATATTTCTGTTCCTTCACTTTTAGTCTGCATTTGAAGTGAGTCTTTTTTTTGGTAACAGGAGGACAACACATTTAGTCGTATTTCAGTCAAATCACACATTCCCCCTCCCCCAACTGCTGCATAGTACATTTATTTTTCTATTACAGGTCCAATTTAAAATGTTTCCTGTGTTATTACAGCAAGTCTCTTTATTTATTTTTCGTATAGAGGGATATTCCCAAATTCTTCCTCATGTAAAATAAACTCCATTCCAGTAAATAATAATACATGAAATTATAGTAAGCTAGACACTTAAAAGGTAAGCCAGTAAATCTTCCCGCAGTTCATTAGAAAGAATGTAGATGCTTAAAAAATAAACCCACTGTCATGAACATAAAATTGAGATTTCTTTAACCCTTGTAGTTTGATTCAGAAAAAGAAATAAAATGTTTAATAATGTATTAACATTTTATTTCACTTATTTTCTGTACAGACAGTTCAAATACAAATTTGGTCTAAATGTATAGATTCTCAAATCATTATATTCAGCATTTCTTCATCCTATGTGCTAAGAGCTATTTCAAGGTCAAAAAGTACCAAATACATATACTTCAAAAGCCATCTAAGTTAGCACACATGCTAGTTTTAGTTACGACATGTCTGAAACACTGGCAAGTGTTACTTGGAGTAAGGTGAAGTAAATTTCTTTACAATTTAATGGAACAATTTTGAAGATATGCTAGAGAAACAGCAGTTTAACAGTTCATGGAATCAGCCAGTTTGTTTCAGCCAATTTGAGTTCATGTTCTAAAATCTAAAATTTAGTTATCTTTCTCTAACCAAGAACTCCCCTGTCATGCATTTATCTATGTTATGAAGCTAAGGAGATTTTGGTAAAGTGCTTTTATCGCAACTACTGTACCAGTTGTCTAGGACTTCAACAGTATTATGGAAATTTGGGAAATTTTCATGCATAAAGTTTTTCACTTAACTGACTTAAAATTGCTGCATACGATGGCATGTAGTCTTTTTTTTTTTTTTTTAAGATTTATTTATTTGTGCATACAGAACTGGGGTACAGGCCAGAGGCTCAGGGGCAGTGAGAGGCTTCACCAGAGACAGAGTGGGGAGCAGAACAGGCACATCGATGAAGTACACTGCTGAGGGGAGCAGCGGGCGGATCAGGAGAGGTCTGCCACGCCATTTGGTCACCTCCGGGACAAGCTGCGGAAGCAGCTTTAGCTTCTCAGTGCTGTGCTTTAACCCGCTGCGCCACCAGGGAGGGCCAGGCATGTAGCCTTTTAATAAACAGGTTGAAAATGGGTTAAAGAGACAAATACAGCATTTGTCTTCAGAGATACCAAGAAAGGAATTTTCTCAATTATGAACTCTTGCAAATGAATTTCATTTCCTTTTCAACTTCCAGTGGTAATGGTAGGATGATTCAGACTGTTTAACAGTCTTGTATTGCAACACTAGGGTGGGTCAGCGAAAATCTAGAGGAAGTAAATCATAAGACAAATTTTCAAGGAAACTTGTGACTCTGAGGCTGACAAAAGTAGGAGATTTTAGAAAAACCATTAACCTTTTATTTCAGAGAATGTTTGTCAAATGCATGAATGACTCCCAGGATTTCAAACATTCAAATTGGGCTTCTGATAGAATTCATGGAGCCACTAGACTTTGCCCAGAAGTCAGAAACACAACCAGACTGGTGTTGATAGGTAGAGTCTAACATGGAACATGGTAATCCATGTCAGGATATGATGGTTAGGTGGAAATACCCAGAGTGTAGTTCTTCATAGGTGTAGAACCTGAAGGAAAGGATGGCTTATAGCTCAAGACTTTATAGAGTCTCAACACAGAAGGAGAGAATTTAAAGAAGGACCAGTTAACTTTGAAATATGTCTTGATGTCCAGGCAAATTCAGCTGAGGAAAAGTCCTTGAATTTGGCAATAGGAAGGTCTCAGATGACTTGTAGTGAAGCAGAGGTATGGTAGATAAACCTAATTAGCTTTGGGTCAGAAAGGGGAGGCCGAGGCAGAAGTTGTCACCCAAAGGTAGAAGGCATCACATGAGTCAGGGGCATTGATAGGGGCATGGTGGGAGCAGAGAGTCCTTGAGGTAGGATAGTACCTCTATAGCTTTAACAGCTATAGACTTCTCATTTGCTTGGAGCATCCCTTGGTTATTTATATCTATTTTAAGTGTATATAATTTGGATAAGTAAACTAAGTCTACAACATTATTCAAAATGTTAAAGGATTTAGCAAAAGGAGATTTACCTTGAAAAGGCTTCTTTTTCCCAGTTATTCTGTTTTCATGATGTCTGGTGACTAAAGTTATTGGATTCTGAACTGTCATTTCAGAGAATTTCTAAACATACATAACAAGTATTTTTAAGTTAATCCAAGTCTACTTTCAAATAAAAAACTGAACCATTTCACATGTAGTATTGTTACAGGACAACCCAAAATGAATTGGGTTGCCTGTCTATGGGTCCTCACCCATGCGCTTAAGATTCAACTGCACTGCAGACACACACAAAAGGTTAATACTGTATTTATTTACAAGGGGAAAAGAAAAGGAACAACCCAAGGAAAGAGATACAAGTTAACGAGTGTGTCCTATTAGTTCCGTTGAATTGGAACCCCATTGTCATCTGAAAGCTGATCAAGAGCCAAGTGACCAGCCACCAGTTAATGAGGTCAAGAGAGAGAAAACCTCGGCCCAACATTACCTTTATAGCCCCAAATCTCAAAATGGCTGCCTAATTCCCATACTGGGTCCTAGCAGGGAGTTGTAGTTCTGGTATCTGGAGTGGGGGTGGAGTCCACAAAACCTGTATCTGTAGATTTTGTTCAGGACATCCTTTCCCCCAACAGTATG